GAATTCCGATTTCCAAGGCTCACAGACGATTTCTATGGAAACTCCAAATGCATTAGTAGCACTTCCACTTCTCTAGACTCCAACCAACAACAATTACTTCTATTTCTCTTTTTATGTGATTGTCAGATTTCTTATTGTTCTTCTTCTTTTTCTGATTTCTGGTCCCACCATTTCTTTCTTCCTCATCTGATCGATTTGCCCTTGAGATGAGAGTTGTCGATGTTAGTTTAAAGAGAAAAGTGACAGCCTCCTTTTGTTAGTCACGTAACTGTGGACAGAAAGTAAACAAAGAAACTTCTCTACCCAAACAATTATAACACGGAATTGATAGAGAGAAGTAAGGGAAAAAGGGCTATATATATTATTCATATCAGTAGAGGCTATATATAGCCTTCTTAAATACCCATGTGAACTACTCCACCTAAAGATCCGGTCTAAGCTAAGGACCCGTACACTTGCACATGATCCGGTCAAAAGTAAATACTCATTCTAAATAATCAACTATTTTCTAAACCATAAAACATAAAACAATAGAAAACTTATTAAATTCAAAGTTTCAGCCATGCACAAACCAATTAACCCAACAATCACCCCCTTAATTGGTTTGCTCATAGCACTCGTTCACAGCAATGCCGACTCTTCTTCAATTAGATTTTCCTCTTGCTTCTCCCACTTTGGACACTCATTGCTATAATGATCATACTCACCACATTTGTAACATTTAACGTGACTTTTATCCCGGACACGTTCATTTCCATCTCGACTCTTCCTGGACCCCCGACCTTTTCCCCGGCCACGTCCAAAGTCATCCCGATTTGAACCTCCACTGCCACAATGTTTACAACCATGTGGTTTTTCTTGACTAGACAATAGCAACTTACCTTGAGTGTCTTCCGTGTTTTCGTTTCCTTTTATTCGTTCCTCGTAAGCTTTCAACCTTCCAACGGCCTCATCAAACAACATAGAGTCTAGCTCGAAACATTGTTCAATTGACGCCACAATTTGGAGAAACGATCTTGGCGTTGAGTCAAGTAGTCTTTTCACCAACTCCACCTCCTCAAGCTCATATCCAAGGCTTCTTGCTTTTGAGGCTAAACCGGTCAGTTTTGTCACGAAGTCATCAACCATTTCACCTTATTTCATCCGCAAGCCTTCGAGTTCCCTCTTCAAGGTTGCTAGCCGAACCGTTCTCACCCGATCCACACCCAAATATCGTGTCTTCAAACCATCCCACACTTGTTTTGGATCGGTGTAACTTGCCATTTGCAACACCATGTCTTCGGGTATCGCTTGAAACAAGAAAGCAAGAGCTTGTTTCTTCTTCTTTGAATCCGATTCTTCACCTAATGAGCTCGGTTCGACCGTCTCCCATATGCCGTGTGCATCCATGATCGACTTAACCTTGACCGCCCACACCGGATAATTCGTTGGGGTCAAGACCGGCACTTGAAAGGACACCGAACCTCCTTCTTTTGCTGGTACCAATGCCATTTTTTTTGTTTTTGACAGCCCCAACCTTTTCTGATCCAAACCGTTCCAATCGAGACTCCTCTTCCACCAGTCAAGAAAACCAAGCTCCTGCTTCTTCTGTTTTCTTTTACCAGCTGTGAGTAAGCAAAATCAAAACCCACATGTTCTGATTTCTTTTCGCTTCTCTTCTCCGCTTCTGGTTAGGCTCGCTTTAACCCGGAACAAGGATCATCAAGGATGGAGCTGCGTCTTTTCCTTGTTATAAAAACTTACACCCTCTTCAACAGAACCTTGGAGCTCTGATACCAAGTGTTAGTTTAAGGAGAAAAGTGGCAGCCTCCTTTTGTTAGTCACATAACTGTGGACAGAAAGTAAACAAAGAAACCTCTCTACCCAAACAATTATAACACGGAATTGATAGAGAGAAGTAAGGGAAAAAGGGCTATATATTATTCATATCAGTAGAGGCTATATATAGCCTTCTTAGATACCCATGTGAACTACTCCACCTAAAGATCCGGTCTAAGCTAAGGACCCGTACACTTGCACATGATCCGGTCAAAACTAAATACTCATTCTAAATAATCAACTATTTTCTAAACCATAAAACATAAAACAATAGAAAAGTTATTAAATTCAAAGTTTCAGCCATGCACAAACCAATTAACCCAACAGTCGAGACCTTGTTGCCTTGACCATTGCACTGATTTAGAGTTGAGACTTGATCGATTTCCCCTCTGATATTCGATCCACCGGTTCATATCTCAGTCAATTCTTATTTATGGTTCTAAAATACCCCTTTGATTTCTATTTCTTTAAGAAAAACAGAATTAGTTCGAGAATCATAGAATTCGAAGACGCACAATCTGATTTTTATTCTTCATTGTTAAATTCGATTTTTGTCTACTCTGATGCAAAAATCGATTTTTATTCTTACCCAGTTACAAAATTTTCGATATTTTAAATTGTTCAATTCAATTTTTTGAATCAGATGCAAATTCTGATTTTTTTTTCTTATATTATGATAATTTTTTTGATTTGATTGGCTGTTAAATTTGATTCTTTAGTAATCTAATGTTGTAACTTCAATTATATTATTCTGATTTTTGTTGCATTTATTGGTTGTTAAATTCGGTTTTTTCTTATTTGACGTTGTGACTTCGATTATTCTGATTTTCCTTATATTTTTGACTTTAAATTCAACCTGTTTTAATGTGATGGTGTGACTCTGATTATTTAAAATTCTACTGTATTTAGATTTCTTATTCTAACACAGTTACACTATCTCATTATGATTTTCAGATTGTGTATTTGAATTATAATTACAAAGGTATAAACAAGATAATGTAACACCAAGAGTTTAAAAAATGATTACTTGAACCTATATTATAATCGATGACATTACATTCAAAATGCCGTTATTTTAGTTTTAATTTTAGTTTTTTTAGTTTTAGTTTTTTTTCCTTTTTTTTGGACGTATCAGGGTTGAAAGTATGTTTTGGCATTTATGTTTTGTTGTTTTGTAATTAATAATTGTTAAGATGTTTTTGGCTCTTGAGGCCTGTCTGGGAGCCTTTATCCTTTTTAGAGGTGTGATATCCTGAGATTGTAGTTGTATTATTAGTTAAATTAATAAAATTTTCCAGAGATGCATTTGCTTCATATATATATATATATATATATATATATATATATATATATATATATATATATATATATATATATATATAACCAATTGAGAACAGGAGAATGAAACTGGACCACTCATTTTGAATCTGTCATCAAGCACTACAGCGTATCGGACTGACGGAACAGATCATATATATATATATATATATATATATATATATATATATATATATATATATATATATATATATATATATATATATATGAATACGTATATTCATATATAAATAACTATAAAAGAAATAGTCTTTCAATTTTTTTGTAACTTTTATTGACAATTTGATTTAAGGTTTCTATTTAACGTCATATTTAAATTAAGAAATATAAGTATATTATATTAATAGTTCAAAAATTTGTTACATTAGAATGATATGTTTACATAAAACAACATATTTAAGCTAATAAATTAAGTATTTTATCATAAAAGACAAATAGTTATCTTTTAAAAATAGATTAATAAAGAAATTTAATTTATTAAAACCTTAAATTAATATGGTATAATATAGTTGATTTATCTATGAAACAAAATAAAAAAAACAAATACAATTCTACATATTTTCATTTAAAAAATAATACATATAAAAACTAAAAAAAATATTTATATAACAAAAGAAATGATCAAACTCTAAATAGTTTTATCTTCATACATTCAAACTCTAAATGATCAAACAAAAAATATACGATATTATAAAATTAAAAACATACATCGTTAATAATTGCAACAAATAAATCAAAATAGATTTATCATTTTTTTTGTTTCAAATATTCAACCATAAACAATTTCTTGAAATATATACAAAATAGAATAGAAAAGATCGACTATAAATAAAAATTAAAAAAATCATCAAAATAGTTTTTAAGCTATGATATTCCATATTTAGTTTTCTCTCATATATTTTATCACTCATCTTGGTTTTATTATAAGTAACAAAATAAAATAATTTTTTTATATAAACAAATATTTCAATTAACCAAACATCTACCCTAATAAATAAGAATGATTTTGATACATGTCATCTTCTCCTTCATTTTGACACTTATCATTTTCTAGATTTTTTTGAATTATTTAATATCCACTTGTCATTTTTATAATTGGTTTTATTTTCTATTCAAATTTCACCTATTAAATGTCACCTCATATTAATTAATTTTATAAATATATTAATTAATGTACATAATAACTTTTTATTTGTGAATTCCTCTTTCTATTAATATATTAATTAATATATATATATATATTATATATATATATATATATATAATGCATTTTATTTGTGAATTCATATTAATTAATTTTATTAGTATAAATTAATTAAGACCGAATTATATAAATAGTCCATTTAGTTTACCAAATGTCACAAAATGAATTGTTATTTATTTTTTATTAACATGGTCTTTGTGGTTACCAAAACTTGTATGAATGGTTTTTTTTTCACACCGTTATTTTTGGTCTTTTTAATAAATTCATATAATACACGGGTCTCACACCTAGTTAATTAATATAGTTAATTAATATATTTGATTTGGATGAAGATGAGTGTGAATGATAAAAGAAAAAAGAAAAAAAACGTATTGTTTTGCCTTTATCCATAAGCATGCATGATGATCTTAAAATGATAAAATCTATGGTGCATTTTCTCTAAAATTATGGGGCACTTGTCGCCTTTGCATCCATACACCTCCTACAAATCCTGCCACGTGCCTCCACAACAATTAATTCGACTAATTGTGCTTTTCTTTAGTTTTTTCATGTATGGATCTCATCACGTACGAGATATATATTTACCAAGTATCCATCCGCCTTGACTGCTAAAAACACAGAAGAATCATAAAAGTATACCATGGATAACCAGTATCATGCAAACATGGTACACAACCAAGTCAGCGGCAAGACGATGCTATTCGCAATCATCGCCGGAATCACAATCGGAGGACCGCTTCTGGCGTTGATGGGTTTCAGTTTCTTGGCTACGATGACTCTGTTTGTAATCAGTTCTCCACTTCTGATTATCTTCAGCCCTCTTCTCATGGGTGCCGGCTTTGTGTTCGTAGCAGCGCTGGTGGGTTTCGGTGCTGCTGGCTTAATGGCGATCGCTGGGCTGTGGGCGTTGGGGTGGGTTTTCCCGTCAGTTAAGCGAGATGGATTGGAAGGTCTGGAATATGCGAAGGAGAAGTTAGTGGAGTTTGGGGAGAACGTAAAAGACACCGGAAAGGATTGGGGTAGTCACCTGAAACAGACGGTGCAAAACTCGCCGGAGAATAAAACCGCCAACAGAGCTTAAGAGTAGTAAACACTTGTACGTTTTGAATGAATAGTTGTACTTCGTTATATATTAATAAGATCTCTTTGTAATCTCGTCCATTTTTCAAGCTCAATGTTCATGTTTATATCTAATACTTAAGACTATCTAATACTTAACAAATTGTATTTTGCATTAATATATGAAGATATCCATGCATGATTAAACATGATCTTTTGAAATAGGAAATTAGTAAATAAATTAAAGTGGAAGACATTAGACATGTTATCCTTCATAAACAAAGAGTTATTTTAAAGATAGTTTGTTTTATTTGATAAATTATTTAGTATAACAACTTTAAAAGAAACATCTTATGTTTTTGGTACATTGTCAAAAGAATGATGGTTTACTGAATTGTATTGGAATAAATCTACAGATGATAGATTATCTAACGTGGTAAATTGTGGTTTGCAATGACTATCGTTCCAATTGGTTATTCACTCCAAATTTAAACCGAACAAAAACTTAATTACATTTTTATGTGGTTGTGAGTTCTAAATTCTAATTTAATATTAAATTAAATAAGTACTTTATCCAATGTTTAATTAGTTTATTATCTCTTGTCTTGATTTGTTTTGGAGTGGCATGACTTTCACAAATATATGGTGCACACCTACAAGAGGTCTACTTCTATAAAACAAAGTAACAAACGCCTAAATATCGTAACATGCAAATAAGGTGGCGATGGGAGATAAACGTTTTCCCTAAAAGTGGAACATTTTTGTTAGGTTTTTAACTTTATTACCGACTTAAATGACATGACATATAGGTTGAACGAAACAAACATTGCTGTCGACACACACTCTTTCCTTCACATTTACGTGTGGGTGTTGTAATTTCGATTTATAGAAACACAAGGACAAGTTGTTTAGGTTATTCATATGGACGATTCTTTTAATCATATAGTACATATATATAAATCGGTTAGCAAATCTGTTTTTCTTCATTCTAAAATATCACGATCAACTATTTAAATTGTGTTTCTACTTTAGTGTCATGTAGCGATAGTGCCGCTATCAAAGACTAGGCATTGTTTTTTTTTTTTTTTTTTTAGGATAAAGGTCTTCTGTTGTAAACCATAATGTGTTTTGTGAATTTAGTATTGCCAGACATTTTATATAATTGGAACTAATATATGAGCTAAGATGTTTATTTTTTTTACGATAGAATTGGTGGAGTCAAGGGGGCTGCGCCCTTAACAATATCCAAGTGGCATAGCCCTTGGCGGGTAGCGCTCCCAAAAGGTTTTCAGAAATTTGAATTAGTTTTATTATGGAAAATCTTAATAATGTGCGATTGTGATAAGATTGACAAATCTTGTTAGTTTTGGAAATCATTGATTAAGTCATTAAGTTCATGATTCCCCTAATTAATGTAGAAGATAGAAACCCTAATCCGTCATGAATAAATCTGACTCCTTTATTCGTTTGTGTTTGTGTACCTAGATACACAAGTGTCAATTTAGATTATCTTATACTGAATTTCCTATAACCAAGATATAGGTGGAAATATCAGTTCGAAAAATAAACTTACACGATAAATTAGGAATTATGTTCTCCGCCATCACCCTAATAATATTCCCCTATAGGTGGAAACTAGATTATGACCCACGTTAAACGCGGGGAACATGAATTAAATACACATTACATTAATGGGTGACATTGTCTTAGGTGAATTTTTAATAAAAAAATGTTAGTTAGGTTCATTTTAGAGTTTTGAACCAAACTTATTAAATAAAAATATTTAATATTTATATTAAAGCAATTTGATTTTTTAATACAATAATTTTAAACATAAATGATCTATGTGATCTTTGTTTTATCACAACATAATGCGACTCCTTGATTAAAACATGTTGTGTAGTAGCTTTATGAATTGACTTTGTTCGGTGTACCAACACCCATAAATGCTCATATGGCTCTTTTCATATTGGTCCTGTAAAAATCAAAAGCAACAATATGTTGTAATATGTACCAACAACGTTAAATTCTGCAAATAAATTTGATAATCATTACAATTAAAGTGCATTGTCATAACCATAAACATCAAATTCGGACATTGTAATTTGGTCAACTTCTAATGTATTTTTTTTCGTTATAAGAATTAAACTATGATTTTTCTGGCTACACCTAATCAAATATACATATCTTCCAATCAAAGAAAATTATTACAAAAAATATGTTATGAACAAAAATATAATATTAGTTTCATAATTTGTCAAAGGTTAACATTAATAAATAATAATGAACTTTAACAAATCTTGCATTTTGGTCACTGTATTCAACTAACAAATGAAATTCAGTTTAGACGATTGATTCAAGAAGTGCATCCATGACTTCTTGTAGCTGAATTTAGGAAAATGCTAAGACCTACTGAGATATGAGAGAACGGTCTGCGAGGATACGGTTAGTTTCTGGAGGGCAATATAAATTCAAAATCGTTAGCACATATCTTTCCTACCTACTTCAATTATCAAATTTAGATCAAACTCATCAAAATCAAATTATAAAAAAACCCCAGATATGTAACATAGCAATCAAACAACATATTTTCATAGAAATAAAATATCACAAATCTACAATTTACACTTTATATAATATTCTTAAATTATATCTTACCTTTTCATCATTAATGGTCACTAACACCTCTTTTCCGTCTTACTATTGTGACACACATCTATATCGAAAATAAGATAAAGAACTATAGAGAATGAATGTTGACAGAGTGACACTTCTTTGAAAATGCAGCAAAATTCTTCCTTTACACTTGATTTAACAATAGAAAATGGAAAATTTTATAATCATAAAAGTATGCTTAATTCAACAAATTTGTTATCAAAATTAATGGAAAATTGAGTTTCTTGAAGAAACAAATCAAATACACAAAAAAGAATAAAAAACAAACAATGAAGCAAAGACAATTTGAAGAGCATGCCAGAATGGTATGATCAATATAGTCATGGTTAATCTTTTCTCATCTTCAAGATGATAAGTACAAGTGAGTAGAGAAAACAAATTGTAATCATAAAAATATGGTTATTCAACAAATTTCTGATCAAAGTTAATGGAAATATTTTTTGTTGAAATAATCAATTATTAATATGTAGGATATCACCACTAAGGGATTTATAGTTTTTCATCATCCTCAGGCTTCAATAAAAGCATCAATTAATGCTCATCACTTTCAAGTAAAACTCCCTGCAATTTAAACTTAATTATAGTAAATATAATCAATAACATTATAAAAAAGGCAAGGTTAAGAATAAGTAGATACAATTATTTAGTTAGATAGTTGGAAATCGAGCAATTGTAATTTAACATGTATAAGACCGGTTATTACTTTCAAAATTAGAAGTATTTACTTTATTAATAAGATTTAAATACAAGGTGACTATTTTGCCCTTGATGACTTTTGGTACTATCGATGTACACTGAGAAAGAAACAGAATAATTAAAAAGATATATCATGTTGATTTGCAAACATATAGGATGCTCAATGCATAAATTATGACTTTAAATTGTGGGAGGATTTGAATTTTATTTTAGGGATAGAGGAAATTGGTGAAGGTTTGAGCAGAAATATTGATGGACAACGTGTTTGACCAAGCATTGGTCAATATGACATAAACAATTTGATCTAAGGATGAAAAAGGTGTAAGTGAAACACAAACAAAAATATTTATTGCTTTAGATGATGAAATAAAGTTTCTCTTTTAGACATAGAATTCAATCTTCTATTTTGTAAATGTAAACGTCTTAGTCTTTGCCTATCTCCAGCGTTATTGTAATGGGTTTTATTATTTACATCTGTAAAATTATAGGAAATGATTAATATCTAAAAAATAATAATATTTCAATGGTAAATGTTTACTAATAAATTTATCAATAAATTCACAATGAATTATACATAATTGTTTTATAACGGTTAAAAGATTTATAAAACTTTGCAATTTCGTAAAAAGTGGTAGTTTTCTAATATTTATATTGAAGTTGTAATAAATAACATTGTAACAATGTTGACAGTTTTATATTCAAACGGAATCATAGAGTAAAAATGATTAAAATTTAAATTCATTTGAGTTTAAACCCAAAATACAAACAGATGAATAATTCAACATTACTAATGAATAAATCAAAAATGTATTCAAATGATCAAAATTCTAACCCAAAAAACGAATATTATGAAACAAAGTCATCAAAAACCAAATAGTTTGTAAACATAATATGAAATCAACAATACTCATATCACCCAACTACTCAAACAAAATCATGAAAATCATATATTATTTTTCTTTATTTGGAATTAGCAGTTTTGACTTGCCTTCCCCAGAAGTATGATCTGTCATTGATGTTGATGATCGTTTGGTTAAGGACATTGTTTCCAAATTATCAACAACATAAACATCTTCCAGGTTGTGTTTTAATTCTTCATGTCTAGAGACTTTTTTTAAAGGATGTCCACTTATTGCACTTGTTGCAGTACTTTTATCAAGACTCAAAGTGGGTGTGACGTTATCATTAGTAAACGAAACAACATCATAAATGTAGAATATAAATGTGTATGTCAATCTAAAAGTTAATAATATTTCAAAGTATTTAAAATATTAGATTTAGTTATATTATATTTAACACCTTCAAATTTAATGTGTCTTGAGATCCGAATACTGTCGATAAAACATTAAACGAATCGGATTTCGACGCCTACATTTGTAGTACATAGAAATATGTTAGTTGATCAATTGAAATATAGAAAATAAAATTTAATAAGTGTAGTGTTTGTAGTATTCTTTGTAAAAGAATGTTACATGTTTGATGTTAAAAAAAATATTTCAATTTCAGTAATGATTGTATTATCAACATTGAAGTTTGAGATTGCATAACCATCAACTTTGATCTTTAAATTATAATGTGAAATTTGAATTTTGAACACCAACTTTTTATCCAAAAGTAAATTCAAAGCAGAAAGATAAATCTTCATATTAC